AAATATCCCTTCCCTTGTGGAACTTATATTTTAGTGGGGGGAGACAGATTTTTAAAAAAAACATAATAAAGTAAATTATATAATATGTTAGAAGGTGATAAGTGCAGTGCTGGTCTGAATGTTTCTGTCCCTCCAAATTTCATATGTTGAAATCCTCACCCCCAAGGTAATAGTATTAAGAGGTTGGGGCCTTTGGGCGGTGCTTAGGTCATGAGAGTGGAGCCCTCATGATTAGGATTAGTGCCCTTATAAAAGAGGACCCAGAGAACTAGCTTGTCCATTCTTTTCATTTATTTATTTATTTATTTGTTTTTAAAAATTTTTTTGGCTGTGTTGGGTCATCGTTGCTGTGCACGGGCTTTCTGTAGTTGTGGTGAGCGGGGGCCACTCTTCGTTGTGGTGCGTGGGCTTCTCATTGTGGTGGCTTCTCTTGTTGCAGAGCACGGGTTCTAGGCACGCAGTCTTCAGTAGTTGTGGCATGTGGGCTCAGTAGTTGTGGCTCATGGTCTCTTGAGCGCAGGCTCAGTAGTTGTGGCGCACGGGCTTAGTGGCTCCGTGGCATGTGGGATCTTCCCGGACCAGGGCTCAAACCCGTGTCCCCTGCATTGGCAGGCAGATTCTTAACCACTGTGCCACCAGGGAAGCCCCTAGCTTGTCCATTCTGCCATGTGAGGTTCCAGTGAAAAGACAGAAGCCGTCATTGAGGAAGCTGTCACCAGACACTGAATCTGCCGGAACCTTGATTTTGGATTTCCCAGTCTCCGGAACTGAGGAATTTTTGTTGTTTATAAGTCATCCAGTTTATGGTACTTTTGTTTTAGCAGTCCAAACAGACTAAGACAAATGCCATGGGGAAAATACAGCAGGATAAGGAGGATGAGAAGTCATAAGTTTGGGGGAAATGCGGGTTGTAATTTTAAATGGGATCAACGTAGGCTTCATTGAGAAGGTGATATTTGAATAAAGCAGTAGTTCTCAACTGGAATTAGTTTTGCCCTACAGGGGACATTTAGCAATGTTGGAGACATTTTTGGTTGTCACCACTGGGGGATGGTTGGACGGTGCTACTGGTATCTGTCTAGTGAGTAGAGGCCAAGGATGCTGTTAAACATCCTGCAGTGCACAGGACAGCCCCCCACAACACAGAATTGACAATAGTGCCAAGGTTGAGAAACTTTGGAATTAAGACTTAAAGGAAATGAGGGTGTCAACCATGTGGAGGTCTGAGGGAAGAGCATTCTAGCCAAAGAGAACAGCCATGGCAAAGGCCCTAAGGTAGGAGTATGGCATGCTTTCTGGAGGAACTGAAGGTAGACTCAGAAGAGTAATAGGAGAAGAGGTAAGGTAGTTAATGGGGACCAGATAGTGTAGTGCCTTAGAGGTCATTGTTGGGACTTTGGCTTTTATTCTGAGCTGTTGGAGGTTTTGATTGGGGGGGCGGGCATCTCATGATATGATTTAGGTTTTAAACAGGATCACTCTGGCTATTATATTGTGTATGGATTGTTGTAGGGAAAGGTAGAGGCACGGAGAGACTAGTTAGGAGGCTCATGTGGTAATCCAGATGTGAGATGATAGCCCAGTGGGAGCAGCAGTGGAGGTGGATGTATCTTGAAGACAGAACTGCAGGATTTCTTGATTGAGTGAGTGAAAGGTATAAGAGAAAGAGAGGAGTGAAAAATGGCTCTAGGTTTTTGGGAGGAGAAAGTGGAACAGTGGAGTTACTTTCTACGGAAATGGAAAAAGCTGTGGCAGAGCAGATTTGAGCAGGGGGAGGTTAGTAGCTCAATTTTGGACATGTTGCATTGAGATACCTATTAGGCATCTGAGTGGATATGTTAAATAGGTAGTTGGATCTGTTAGGATGAGGTTCAAGAATTAGAAATCTTGGAGTTGTTAACATGTAGATGTTATTTAAAATCATGAGACTGGAAGAGATGACCAAGGGAGTGAGAGTAGATAGAAAGAGAACAGGAACATGGACTGAGCCCAGGGGCATTCCCATTTTAAGAGGTCTGGGAGGAGAAGAGGAACCAGTAAAGGTGACTGAGAAGGGGCAGCCAGTGAGGTCAGAGGAAACCAGGAGAGTGTGGGATCCTGAAAGCCTAGTGAAGACAGTGAACTGAGGAGGAGGGGCTCATCAGCTGTGCCAGTGCTGCTGGTAGGTCAAGTAAGATGAGGAGTGTGAATTGACCTTTGAACTGCATGACACGGAGGTCGTTGGTGACCATAATGGGAGCTGTTTAGGTGGAGTGGTGGGGACCTGATTTGAGTGGGTGAGTAGAAGGAGAGGAATGGGAGGCAGTGAATATAGACAGTTCTTTTGAGGAGCTTTGCTACAAAGAGGAGCGGAGAAATGGAACAGTGGCTGGAGGGGAAAGTGGGTTCGAGAAGGTTACTTTTCTTTTTAAAGGTGGGAGAGTTAGAAGAACATGCTTGTGTATTGATGGGAATGATCCAGTAGTGAGGGAGGAAAATGATGCAAGAGAGAGAGAAGGGAGAATTGGTGGATCAATGAGTTTAAATACGTTTATGTCTTTTTTATTCCTTTATTTCATTTTAGTAGGATTTTTAAGAGGAATAGTCTGTTATTTTAACCAGAAGACCCTTTCACTCTTTTTAAAAATTTTATTTTATTGAGGTATAATTGACATGCAACATTGTGTAAGTTTAGGGTGTACAGTGTGTTGATTTGATACATTGATACAGTTGACCCTTGAACAACATGGGGGTTGGGGCGCTGACCCTCTGCACAGTTGAAAATGCACCTATAACTCTGTAGTTGGCCCTCCATATCCTTGGCTTTCCCGTATCTGCAGTTCCATGTCTCGAGTTCAACCAACCCCAGATTCAACCAACCACAGATTGTGTAGTAATGTAGTACGTATTTATTGAAAAAAATCCACATGTAAGTGGACCCACACAGTTCAAACCCATGTTGTTCAAGGGTCAACTGTATATTGCAATATGATGCTTAGGCATTCCCATGTAAGAATAGGAGTTTCAGGCTCTATTTTATAAGTGAAGAAACCAAAGCCTTGGCTCATACAGTGGAGAAGCTGTATTTCATATTTACTTACCCATTATCTTCCAGGTCAGACTCAGTTTTTCAGTTCCCATCCTTCTAGGACCTCAAAGACATTTGAATCTTCTTCCAGAAAACATTCCTTTCCAACCAGCAAGTAAACGACAGTTGAACCAGTCTTTCTTTAAATCACCAACTTCAAAATTTGGAAAAATTTGTTCAGTATAAGTATAGTTAAGCATCTTATGTTGCATTTATATGAAATTATAGCAGAAGTGGTCAAGTGCACCCTTAATTGATTTTTACCCTCTCAAGTGGCACTGTTTTTTGGTGTAACTCTCCTTTCCATGCACTATTTTGGGTTTGTGTGAAAATACAGTGGATCCAGAACCCGTGCATTATGAAAACAAGAGGACCTAGTAAATCAGATAGTGTGTCCTGTTGTGGCAGCAACTGGCTTGTGTTTGAAGTTTGGCTTTAAGGATTTTTGATATCTCAACACTGAATCAGGATTGCTTTTGACCTGTATTTACCAGGGGAAGATGAAGGATCCAACTAAGCTGGTTGGCACCTGGTTATATGAAGAAATACAGAAACAGTGGGCTTACATCAGGAAGTTATAAGTAAGAATGGAATTATAGCAGCTCAGTAGTATATTAGGAATTGCTGCCAGGAGGAATTCACAGAAATGGATGATTATTGTATTCCACACTGTGTACACAACAAGCTGAAATTCTTCATACAGATACCTTTGCTGTTCTTTCATACCTTCTTTCAATAATAATTATTGAGCACTGGTTATGTGCTAGACTCAGGATACAACTCTGAGCCTTCATGGAGCATACTTTTTGGGCTATCATGGATAGGATCCCTCAGTAAGGTTGCAGGGCAGTGATCATGTTCTTATATCACTGCATTAGTTTGCTAGGACTGCCATAACAAAATCCCACAGACTGGGTGGCTTAAACAACATAAACTTATTTTCTCACAGTCCCGGAGGCTGGAAGTCCAAGATCAGGGTGTCAGCAGGTTTGGTTTCTTCGGAGACCTCTCTCCTTGGCTTGCAGATGGCTGCCTTTCTGCTGTGTCCTCATGTGGGCTTTCCTCTGTGCACGTGCGCATCCCTGATGTTTCTGTGTATCCAAATTTCCTCTTCTTATAAGGACAACAGTCAGATTGGATTAGAGCCCACCTTAACTGCCTCATTTTAACTAATCACCTATTTAAAGGCCCTATTTCCAAACACAGTCACATTTTGAGGTACTGGGGGTTAGGACTTCAATGTATGAATCCTAGGGGGACACAGTTCAGCCCATAACACTCTCCTCTGGACCCCCAAAATTCATGTTCTTCTCACATGCAAAATACATTCACCCCCATTCCAACAGCCCAAAATTCTTAACACATTCCAGCATCAACTCTAAGTCCTAAATCTCATCTAAATGAAGTGTGGATGAGAGGTATCAGTCAAGGTATAATTCATCCTAAGACAGAATTAGCTATGAACCAGTGAAGCTGGACAAATTATCTGCTTCCCAAATACAATCGTAGGACAGGCATAGGATAGACATTTCCATTCCAAAAGGAACAAATCAGAAAGAAGAAAGGGGTCTTGGGTCCCAAGCAAATCTGAAACCTAGCAGGGCAAATTCCACTAAATTTTAAGGCTTGAGAATAATCCTCTATGGGTTGATACTGCCCTCTAGGCCCACTGGTGTGGTGGGCCCACTGGGGTGGCAGCGTGGCCAACTGAAACCACAGCATTCGGACCCACCCTAATGGCCTAATTTTAACTTAAACACATCTTTAAAGACCCCGTCTCCAAATCTGGTCACATTCTGAGGTACTAAGTGTTCAACATATGAATTTGTGTGTGTGGGGGATACACTTCAGCCCATAACAGTCGCTCAGCATGAATAATGAGCTGTCAAACTTTGTTAGTTTTGCCTGTGTAATAGTACTGTTTTCTTCCTAGTACTACAAAGTATTCCTTCGACAGTCCCCATTGGAGCCCTGCCTTCTGTTTCGTGAAGGTGGGTACTGGCGTGAGCTCATAGCCCACACCAATAGCCAAGGGCACACAATGGCCATCATCACTTTCCATCCCCAGGAATTAAGGCAGGTGAGACGCAAAGGATGATAAGGAACAGCTTCTATAGCAGCCCTTACTATCAATATGCTGCAGTTGGTATTTGGAGGTTTCAGGGAAGATAGCAGAAACAATGTATCCATAGAATGTATGGGTTGGAAAGAAGGGTTGGGGATGATGATGAGGAGATGGCAAGGATCCTGTTAACCATGCTGCTGGCATAATGAAACCAAAGAGACTGAGGCTAGGTTACCAAGTTAATTATCATGTGAGGACTCCTGAGGATTTTCACAAGAACTTTGCCCACGGAACTTATTAGGTGTTCTACTAATTCCAGAAGCCAATTTAATAGAGACTAGAATATGGTCAGAATTTCATAATCTACATAATACTTTTACATTTGTAATACACTTAGAGCTTTCAAACATGCCTGTATCAAAATATTCTAATACTTATGTGATCATCTCAAGCAACTTGTGAAGTAGGCTGGAGAGGGAGAGGTATTGTTCCCTTCATTTCACAGCTGAGCAAATGGAGGCATAGAGGTACGCAACGTTAAAGAGCTAGTAAATAGCAAAGCTGTAGGGCTTGAACCCAGGTCGTTGATTCCTGGCCTTTTAACTCTATAGCTCCAACATAGTTCATTGTCATATGTCCTTGTGTCGAGCTAATGGATAGGGCTCTCTGTAGTGACGTAAGAATTTTAAAACGTTTAGAACTCGAAGAAAGGATTTAGTTACCGTGCTCATTCTGTTCCGTGCCCTTTCTTTCCTTTCTCTTAGGACGTGTGTCTTCTGAGGTGGTGTTTGGATGGGTGGATGGGATATTTGAAGTAGAGAAGTATGAAAGGAATTGAAAGGTTATTGCTTATTTGTGATGGGACAAAAGCTTAGTTTAGCTCCTAGGTTACAACAAGAATAACTCTCACACTTTCTTTAGAGAACTATTAAAGAGGCTCAAACCAGAGAAAGTGTCATGTCTGTTGTATAGCATTTGTCAAAAGCCAATAAGCAAAGCAGTGCTTCTGCTGAGATGTGAAAATAGCTTTTTTTTTTTTTTTTGGTCCTACAGAACATTGCTTTAAGTGTTATCTATAACACTTGAGTAATGTGCCTTCTTGTCTGACTACTGCAGGGCTGATTACCATAGAGCTTGGAGAGAAAATTTGTAAGAGGTGGGTTTTTGCTTGACTCCTGATTTTGTGGTCTGGGCAGGAGGAGCTCTGTGTTCAGAAGGAGACTGTAAAGAATTTTTTCACCAAAGGACCAGGAGCAGTCTGTGACTTGACATCACTTTACTTCCAGGAAAGGTAAACCTGGGACAGCCCAACAGCAAGCCGCAGTCTTATGGCTTGCCATAGTCTGGGTTGTGGATTACTGAGGCAGCGCTGCTGATGACCAAGTGTTTGCATGTACCTCCATCCCCTGAGAGGGAAACTCCTCCAGAGCTCTCAGGGCCATGCCATGGAGGCTTTGTCTCCTAGCTGAGATGCTGGGGCCTCCCTCTCCAACCAACCACTAGAGATAGGTTGGCCTGCCATTCCAAGGTGCTTTCTTCTTTTATTCTTTTCTAGCACTACGACCCGTTGCAGCCATCAGCAGTCCCCCTACCAGCTCCTGTTTGGGGAACCCCACATCTTTGAAGATCTCCTGGGGTTGAAGATCTGCATCTCTCCAGATGCCTTTTTCCAGGTTAACATTGCTGGTGCAGAGATACTGTATCGGACTGTGGGGGAGCTGAGTGGAGTGAACTCTAACACCATCCTCCTTGACATCTGCTGTGTAACTGGCAAGTGGCAGCCCAGGGCAGAATCAACACGCAGCTTATCTCCCCAACACCATCCACGCAGCACCCAGGGCCCTTGCAGCCGAGGTGGGGAGGTGGTGGTAGTGGTGCAGGCATAACCTCATTGGTAATACCATAAAATACCCTCCTCTTATTCTCTCCTACTTCCCCAGGTGTGATTGGTCTCTCTCTGGCTCAGTATACCTCCTAGGTCCTTGGGATTGAGTTGGTGGAGCAGGCGGTAGAGGATGCCAGGTGGACTGCAGCCTTCAATGGTACACTGCTCACATTCTGGGGAGAAATTAAGAGCTGTAGTTGTTCTGTACTATGGGAACGGTTGTGTGGGAAAGGGCATCTACTGTATCCATGACTGGGGAGGAAGGGAAGGTGTTCTGGAGTGCTCAGAGTTGGATCCTGATGACTTTCTAAAAGAGGTCCCCCTGTTGTTTTCTTTTTTTTTTTTTTTAAATTGAAGTATAGTTGATTTCAGTGTTGTGTTAGTTTCAAGTATACAGCAAAGTGATTCAGTTATATATATATATATGTATATATATATATTCTTTTTCAAATTATTTTCCCTGGGCTTCCCTGGTGGCGCAGTGGTTGAGAATCCTCCTGCCGATGCAGGGGTCACGAGTTCAGGCCCTGGTCCAGGAGGATCCCACATGCTGCGGAGCAGCTGGGCCCGTGCGCCGCAAGTGCTGAGCCTGCGCCCTAGAGCCTGTGAGCCACAACTACTGAAGCCTGTGCTCCGCAACGGGAGAGGCCACAGCAATGAGAGGCCCGTGCACTGCGGCGAGGAGTGGCCCCCACTCACCACAGCTAGAGGGAACCCGGGCACAGCAACGGGGACCCAACACAGCCAAAAATAAATAAATTCATTAAAAAAATTATTTTCCCTTATAGGTTATTACAAAATATTGAGTAGAGTTCCCTGTGTTATACAGTAGGTCTTTGTTGGTTACCTATTTTATATATAGTAGTGTGTATATGTTAATCCCAAACTCCTAATTTATCCCTCCCTAAATCTTTTTGTTTCTATCCAGAAAAAGCCTAAGGGAAGGAATAAGCCTAGCTGATAGGAAGGGAACTTGGCAAAACTTTGAATAATACAGAAGAGCCTTCTTGACATTAGACTCATGAGGCATCATAACAATACAATAGGTTTCAAACTATTTTTAGCAGTAGGACCTTTTCTTTGAACAAAGTCTTAGGCCAAACTGCAACATAGAAAAAAGATTTTCTTTCCCCTCTACCTCACTTCTAGACAGCTCCTGAGGCTCCATGTGAAAGCCTCCAATATAGCAGAAGGAGCACTTGAGTTATAGTCAAGGTTCTCTTCTTGGTATAGGTCCTTATGTGCTGTGTGAGTCACTAAGTTGTAAAATAACACATCTAGTCTCTCAAGCTGAAAGGCCGACAGAGATATTGCAAGGGAAAGCACATTGGAAAAAATGAAGCAGCTCCAAAAGCATTTCTTTCATTGTTATGCAGAAGTATGTTAGATCTAAAGGGAAGATGGCAGAGCCCTCCCTGCTTTCTGTACGTTTCTATAAAGCTGAAGCTCCCCACCCCCAACTGCTTGGCTTGCATTTTGAGTTATGGCACGTGGGCCTCTCTTGCAGGCATCACCAACTGTGAATTCCATACTGGTCGAGCAGAGAAGATTTTGCCACAGATACTAAAGTCAAAGGAAGATGGGCAGTTAATTGTTGCTGTAGTGAACCCAGCCCGGGCCGGGACTGCGTAAGGATGACTAGATTTCCTGCTACAGAGCTAGTTAGGTATTCCCATGATGTCCACCAGCTTTGGTCTCTCATTTCTACACCATGTTAAGGCTGCTCTCAGTTAGCTGGCTCTGAACCTGCTTCTCCTCTTTTCCTAACCAGTGCTATGTGCCAGCCAGTTGCAAGTTTGTGATAACCTGGACCATGATAGTTTAATTATACTAATAGCAATGTGTTTCTTCCTTTAGATTACCAGGTGGTTCAAGCCATTCGAAACTACAGGGCCATCCGCATACTAGTTTTTGTTTCCTGCAAGCCTCATGGTGAAATCACAAGGAACATCATTGAGTGAGTCTTGACTTCGTTTTTAAATTATTTTTCCTGGGCTTCCCTGGTGGCGCAGTGGTTGAGAGTCTGCCTGCCGATGCAGGGAACACGGGTTCGTGTCCCGGTCCGGGAAGATCCCACATGCCACGGAGCGGCTAGGCCCGTGAGCCATGGCCGCTGAGCCTGCGCGTCCGGAGCCTGTGCTCCGCAACCGGAGAGGCCACAACAGTGAGAGGCCCACGTACCACAAAAAATTAATTAATTAATTTTTCCTGATGGTCAAAGTAATCCTTATTGTTACGCTTATTGTGCAGAATTTGGAAAGTGTACAGAAGTATAAAGAAATTAAAAAGTCATTATACTGTCATCAAGAGTCAATTATAGGGCCAGGTCTTGGATGAGGCAAATAAAGCAACCCACATCAGGTACAAAATTTAAGAGGATGCCCCAAATCTTAGTAATCAAGTTGCATTTTTTTTTTTGGCGGTACATTACATTTATTTAATGAAATACCATATAGCCAATAAAAGTGAGGTAACTACATATAGTGGAGAGATGCTCATGATGCGTTATTATGTGAAGAAGCTGTTATAAAACAGTGTGTATAGTATGTACAGTGTGACTCCACTTTAAGAAACCAATTTAAATGTACATATTTGGAGAGATATATCCTGAAAAGTTAGAAGCACGTATTCTTCTCTGAATGGTGAGTTTATAGGTGAATTTTTGTTCTCATTTTTACTTGACTTCCTGTGATAAGGGAAAAAGTAATTTGCTTAGAAAGTTTTCAGTAGAATAATTCAGTAATATATATATTAATAACCTATTGTGTGCAAATCATACAGAAAAGGGTATGACTCAGGCCCCTTGCTCCATTCACCATTGAACCCCTACTCTGTCACACACTGAGAACACAGAGATGAATAATAAGCAGTTTTTCCTCATTTCTAGCCTCAAAAAGATTATATACTCCCATGAGGAAGATGGTTTAAAAAACCCAGGTAGTTACATTAAATGTGATAGCTGTGGGAACACAGAGGAAGGGCTTAAATTTTAAGGAATTGTGTTCCTGTACTTTCTCCTTGGTTTATCAAACTGAATATTTTTTCTTTGAATTTTTGAATTTTATTTTATTTATTTTTTTATACAGCAGGTTCTTATTAGTTATCATTTGCCTTATGTATTGAGGTGCTTCTATGTTGGGTGCATATATATTTATAATTGTTATATCTTCTTCTTGGATTGATCCCTTGATCATTATGTAGTGTCCTTCCTTGTCTCTTGTAACATTCTTTATTTTAAAGTCTATTTTATCTGATATGAATATTGCTACTCCAGCTTTCTTTTGATTTCCATTTGCATGGAATATCTTTTTTCCATCCCCTCACTTTCAGTCTGTATGTGTCCCTAGGTCTGAAGTGGGTCTCTTGTAGACAGCATATATATGGGTCTTGTTTTTGTATCCATTCAGCGAGCCTGTGTCTTTTTTTTTTTTTTTTTTTCAGTACGCGGGCCTCTCACTGTTGTGGCCTCTCCCATTGCGGAGCACAGGCTCCAGACGCGCAGGCTCAGCGGCCATGGCTCATGGGCCTAGCCGCTCTGCGGCATGTGGGATCCTCCCGGACCAGGGCACGAACCCGTGTCCCCTGCATCGGCAGGCGGACTCTCAACCACTGCACCACCAGGGAAGCCCGAGCCTGTGTCTTTTGGTTGGAGCATTTAATCCATTCACATTTAAGGTAATTATAAATATGTAAGTTCCTGTTACCATTTTCTTAATTGTTTTGGGTTTGTTTTTGTAGGTCCTTTTCTTCTCTTGTGTTTCCTGCCTAGAGAAGTTCCTTTAGCATTTGTTGTAGAGCTCGTTCGGTGGTGCTGAATTCTCTTAGCTTTTGCTTGTCTGTAAAGCTTTTGATTTCTCCATCAAATCTGAAGGAGATCCTTGCCAGGTAGAGTAATCTTGGTTGTAGGTTCTTCCCTTTCATCACTTTAAATGTGTCATACCACTCCCTTCTGACTTGTAGAGTTTCTGCTGAGAAATCAGCTGTTAACCTTATGGGAGTTCCCTTGTATGTTATTTGTCGTTTTTCCCTTGTTGCTTTCAATAATTTCTTTGTCTTTAATTTTTGCCAATTTGATTACTATGTGTCTTGGCGTGTTTCTCCTTGGGTTTATCCGGTATGGGACTCTCTGCACTTCCTGGACTTGGGTGGCTATTTCCTTTTCCATATTAGGGAAGTTTTTGACTGTAATCTCTTCACATATTTTCTCAGGTTCTGTCTCTCTCTCTCTCTTCTCCTTCTGGGACCTTTGTAATGCGAATGTTGTTGTGTTTAATGTTGTCCCAGAGGTCTCTTAGGCTGTCTTCATTTCTTTTCATTCTTTATTCTGTTCCACAGCAGTGAATTCCACCATTCTGTCTTCCAGGTCACTTATCCATTCTTCTGCCTCAGTTATTCTGCTATTGATTCCTTCTAGTGTATTTTTCAGTTCAGTTATTGTATTGTTCATCTCTGTTTAGGTGTTTGTTCTTTAATTCTTGTAGGTCTTTGTTAAACATTTCTTGCATCTTCTCAATCTTTGCCTTCATTCTTTTTCCGAGGTCCTGGGTCATCTTCACTATCATTATTCTGAATTCTTTTTCTGGAAGGTTGCCTATCTCTACTTCATTTAGTTGTTTTTCTGGGGTTTTATCTTGTTCCTTCATCTGGTACTTAGCCCTCTGCCTTTTCATCTTGTCTATCTTTCTGTGAATGTGGTTTTTGTTCCACAGGCTGCAGGATTGTAGTTCTTCTTGCTTCTGCTGTCTGCCCTCTGGTGGATTAGGCTGTCTCAAACTGATATTATGATTTCTTTCTACAGGTTGTGCTGTCCTCCAAACTCTGCTAAGAAGTTCCTTGGTGAGCCTTTCGTCCTAAGACAAGCTGTGCCTGTGGATCTGTTCCCCCACACCCCGCACTGTGAGCTGGTGCTTCTCTTCACTCAATAAGCAGCCTCCTACAAGCCTGCAGGTTCTTTGTTAAGGCTGAAGTGTCAGTAACTTCCAGGTCTAGCATATTGCTACATCGCTGACCCTGAGAGCATTACCGAGGAAACCAATCTTTGGACCCTGAGCAGGAAGAATATAGTGGACCTCCTACCTGAGGTAGATTTATAACCTTAGTTTTCACGTTTGCTGCCTCTCTTGCATGTTTGCCTGGTTGTGACCACTCCTTAGCCCTGGATCTGGACTGTTCCTTCTTTTTGCTGTCAGTCTATCATGGCTCCCTTGATCCTAGTTTACAGTCTGTCTCCCCTGTCTAGCTCTGCCTGTGGTGGAGTGACAACTGAGCTTTTCTCCACATCTGGTCATAATTTCACATTGACTCGGGTTTCTGTATTTGCCTGGAGATTTTACTAGATGTGTTCTGCATTCATGAGGTAGCCAAGGATTAGAACTAGAAACAAGTCTAGCTTTTTTAAAAAGCAGAGTAAGCTATGAAATGATTGCAGAGTGACTGTGTGATCTCAGTAGAGATTCATTACTTTGGGTTTTCTAGGCTTTGAGGCTTCCAGAACAGGTTTTAAAAATGTGGTTACCCTTAGGAGCAATACCACCAATTAGCTCTCACCTGTGGAGGGAGAAGTGGTTGTAGTAGAGACCCTATGGGAAAGGAGAGCTTCAAAGAAGAAACTGAATACCTATAATTGGGCTGTGTAGTATGGGTATTGAAACTGACATTCTCTAGTCATGATTTCTTCAACTCTGGAGTTCTTGGATACGTGCCCAACAATTAAATTATGTTTTGAATCTTAACAGACTAAGGACGTGTAACTTAGTGAGCACTGTCTGATTTACAAATTGATATCAGGTCAGCTAGTGTTTTTAATTTTTCTCAATCCTAAATACCTCTAGAGAAGCCCCTTTCTCAGAAAAATATGGCTCTTAAAGCTACTATATAAATATCCATATAAAAAATATTAGAAGGAAATAATCTAAAATGACAAAAAATGTTGATTAATGGTAGTCAGATAAGTTTTATTCCCATTTCCCGATCTTTCATTTTATGTATATAATATATATTTGTATATTATATACATTATGTTTCCATTTCCCTAGTTTATTTTATATAAATAATATTATATTATTTTTATAGCTGAAAAACCTTAATGTAAAGCATAAATGAAAAGCGACTTTTAGTTTCTCCTCCTTTGTTGCCTATATCTGTAAATGGCAATCCCATCTATTAGTTATGTAAACCGGAAGTTGGAGTTATCTTTCTCATTCTCATATCCAACTGCCGACCAGGTGGATTCCACCTGGATATCTTCTAGGTACTCTGAAATCAACATATATAATGTTGCATGCTTCACATCTTTCCCCCAAACCTGTTCTTGCTCCTATATTTCCAATCTTTTTTTTTACATCTTTATTGGAGTATAATTGCTTTACAATGCTGTGTTAGGTTCTGCTTTATAACAAAGTGAATCTGTTATACATATACATATGTCCCCATGTCTCTTCCCTCTTGCATCTCCCTCCCTCCCACCCTCCCTATCCCATCCCTCCAGGTGGTCACAAAGCACCGAGCTGATCTCCCTGTGCTATGCGGCTGCTTCCGACTAACTATTTTGGTAGTGTATATATGCCCATGCCACTCTGTCACTTTCTCCCAGCTTACCCTTCCCCCTCCCCACATCCTCAAGTCCATTCTATAGTAGGTCTGCATCTTTATTCCATCTTGCCCCTAGGTTCTTCTGACCATTTTCTTCCTTCCTTTTTTTTTTTTTTAGATTCCATATATATGTGTTAGCATACAGTATTTGTCTTTCTCTTTCTGACTTACTTCACTCTGTATGACAGACTCCAATCTACTTGGTCACTCAAGCCAGAAGCCTGGGAATTATATCTGAGTCCTTCCTTTCCCATACGCTCTGCCCACATGCAGTGTATCACCAAGTCTCCATCCCTACAGGTTACCATCATCTCTCACCAGATTATTTACTGAAAGGGCCATGTTCTTAACTTGTGCTGCTGTCTTCATTCTTGCCCCCATCCATTCTGTTCTCTACAGCCAGAGTGAGTTTTCTAAAATGCCAGTCTCATTGTGTTTCTCTGGTGCTTGAAATCTGTCTGTTATGGGCTCCTTCTTGCCTTTAAAATTAAGTCTCAGATTCTTCATGAAGCCTCAAAGCCCCTTCATAATCTGGGTAGCCTCATTTTTCTATACACATTGAGTTCCTTTCCTTGAAAAAGATAATTTTTTTCCATTCTGGTCCTTTCTTATTCTGTTTCCTCAGCTGGGAATGTGCTTTTTTCTTTTGGCTAACTCAACTCATTTTTCTATTTTTAACTTAGCTATCCCCTAAGGAATATCTGATGAATAAATATAGGATTAGCTGTAGGTAATCAGCTTCCTGGTAATTCTATTAGTGTTACACCTTGTAAGTAAGATGATCTTAGAATTATGCTTTCGTCATTTCTATAATGAAAAGTTTTAAGCATACAAGAAAGTTGAAAGAATAATACAATGAACACCAGTATACCCACCACCAGGATTCAACAAATGTTAACATTTTGCCATATTTACTTTATCTGTGTGTGTATCTGTTCTTTGATAAACCATTTGAAAGTAAGTGGTAGACACCATGACACTTCACCTTTAAACGTCTCAGCATCCATCTTCTAAGTGTAAGGACATTTTTCTACATAACCATAATACCGTAAGCCCAGCTAAAAAAGAAATTACCAGTACCTCACTGATCTTTGCTAGTGTTATCCATTATCTAGTACAGTGCTTCCCAACGTGTGGTCTGCAAACTGCTTGATGGTTCAGAGGGAGATAAGGAGCTTGTACCAGAGTGTGTATCAGTGCACCACATCCTTCATTGAGGAAGTTTTCTTACCAAAAATATGTCAGCCAGATTAAATAGTGTGATAAGTGACCTGGTTCATTTACATCTGTGGGCTAGCTGGGTAGTACGGCTCTATATTCAGATTTCCCCAGCTGTCCCCTGAAGTCTTTTATGGCCAGTTCACATGTTGCATTTGAGTGTGGTCTCTCTTTAGTGTCTTTTAATCTAGAACAGTCTCCCCACTTTTTGTTAATCACTGACTTTTAGAGACCAGGTCTGCCCCACTTATGAATCTTTCTGACTGTTGTGTGTGTGCCCAACTGTCCTAGTTTTCCTGGGACTTTCCTGGTTTAACACTGATCCTGCATCCTGGACAGTCCTCAGTCCTGGGTAAACCAGGATGGTTTGTTTTCTTATGATAGTGCTTAGCTTTCCCTTCCAGCACCTGAGTTTCCTGTAAACTGGAAGTTGTTAGGTCCAGAGGCTTGATTAGATTCAGTTTTGATAAGTATGCTTCATAAATAATGCTGTGTACTTCATGTAGCATCCCATCCAGTGGTACATATGGCAGTTGTCCACTCTTTAGTAAAGGTGATGGTTAAGGTGGTGGCCCTCAGAACTCTCCATGTAATTTTAATTTTCTCTTCCTAATTAGCAAGAAATCTGGGGTGTTACTTTGGTACCATGTGACTGTCCTGTTCCCCAATAACCTCTCACCTAAAATTTCAGCATCCATCAATTCCTGTTTCCTCACTCAGTAATTTGTTTTTCTAATTTTTAAAATGTATTTCCTGACTTTGTGATTTAATCAGGGGTTGCAAGATGGTGATTTCCTAATTCTATCATCCAGTCTATGTTTCTTAGCTGGCATTCTTCTGTAAAGATGAGCTTTCTCTCATCTATAGGATATGAACCAAAAAGATCATGTAAAGGCCTAATTCTTTTCCCTCGAATACCAATTTTCAGAGCAAGTTGATGTAATAGTTACTTCCAATAGTAGAGAAGTAGTTTTACTTATTGTTTTGGAAGTCACTTAATTCAATGTTTTTCTTAATGTAAATTCAGTGCTTTACATTCAGTTCAGCATTTTCTTTGTAATGCTCAAATTTTCTCCAGTTTGGCCAGTGGGAGTCCCTTTAGTCCTTTTGACATGCTTCCATGAGTCTTTGAGCACTTCTGACAGAAAATTCCTAGGCTCAGCATACATTTCTCTGGCCTAGTCCTGGAATCAGCTGTTTCCAAGGAGCCCTGGTTCCTTTTAGTGGAGGATGGATGCTGGATGTTAGAAGCAAAATCTAATAGTACTGGGCTTCCCTGGTGGCGCAGTGGTTGAGAGTCCGCCTGCCGATGCAGGGGACACGGGTTCGTGCCCCGGTCCGGGAAGATCCCACATGCCGTGGAGCGGCTGGGTCCGTGAGCCATGGCCGCTGAGCCTGCGCGTCCGGAGCCTGTGCTCCGCAACGGGAGAGGCCACAACAGTGAGAGGCCCGCGTACAGAAAGAATAAAAAAATCTGATAGTACTGTATTCCAATCTGTGAGCTGTAAAACATTACCACAGTGACCAAGTGTCCCGATTTACTCTGAATCTGGAACTTTCGGTGCTAAAACCAGGAGCATCCTAAGCAAACCAGGACAACAAGTTGGTCACCCTAAATTGGTCACATTGTTTTTTAATTATTATTTTTAATTTTATTGAAGTATAGTTGATTTACAATTCCCATTGTTAATACACAGTAATGATTAAGGAAGAATAGTGGAAATTGGGATTGGGACACGTGGACCAGTAGTAGCTAAAGTAGCTATAAATTCTCAGGAAATTTAAGGGTTTATACTAAATGATCTCTTCCAGCTGTAAAATATCTAGGTCTAGGGCAGTGGATCACAAGCTTCAGTGCACATTTGTATCACCTTTAAAAACGCTGATCCCTGGGCCTCAGACATTACAATTTCATTGGTTTAGGGAGGGGCTCAGACATCAGTATTTTTTAAATGCCCACCAGTGATTCTCACGTGCAGCCAAGGCTGAGAACCAGTGGTCCACGGGGGGCTCTACCTTTCAAAGTGTGGTCCCTGGACCAACAGCATTGGCATCACCTAGGAGCCTGTTAGAAATGCAGACTTTCAGGTTCCACCCTAACTGGATCAGAACCTCTGAGGGTGAGGCCCAGCTATGTGTGTTTTATTTAATGTGCCCTCCAGGTGATTCTGATGCACACTCAAGTTTGAGAACCACTGGTTTAGAGTGACAGTTCTCAGCCTTGGTTGTGTCAACTGAAATAAAAACACATAACGTGAGAGCTGTGAGTTCA